TAGTGGTGAAAGTTTAGGCTTCAACGGATAAGGGTTTAAGGGTTCATGTGGGACACAGCAAGTCGAGTAATTGGTGTTTTGTGGGGGGGGTACTTCTTGTTTTGGTATACTGTTAGGGAACCCTTCGGAACAGGATCGTGGGATTCCGATTGCTCGGTGAGATTAGAGCGGTATAGGTTTCGGGATGTTTCGGGTCTTCAGCTGTGTGGTTTGCAGGGTTCCGATGGCTCGTATAGCGGTCGAAATAATTATCACTACTACTCTGAGGGTTCCTCATTATAAGTATAGTATCATGGGCCCCAAAACCCTATTCTAAGCATTAAGGCCCGTGTACTAGGGGCTTGAGTATAGAAAACCAAAATAAAGTAAAAGCCAGAAAGTTGGAATATGATTATCCTAAACCCTTTATGGTAAATTATAAGGTATCCTACCCTGAAACCATATATACATATTCCAACTTTCTGGAGTTCCCTTTAATCCCAAACCTAAACCCTAAATCCTAGACCCTAAACCCTAAACCCTAAACCCCTAAACCCCTAAACCCCTAACCCCTAAACCCCTAAACCCTAAACCCCTAAACCCCTAACCCCTAAACCCCTAACCCCTAAACCAGTATTATTCCGCGCCAGCCCTCCGAGCTCGGACTGAGGTTTCGGGCTTCGGGGGACCCCGAGCCCAAGCCCTAAGCCAGCCTTGGAACTTGGGGTTTCGGGTTCAGGAATTAAGGTTTAGGGTTTAAGGTTTAGGGTTTAGGATTTAGGGTTTCGGGTTCAGGAATTAAGGTTTAGGGTTTAGGATCTAGGGTTTAGGGTTCAGGAATTCAGGTTTAGGATTTATTGGGTTTAGGATTTACGGAAGCCAGCCTTGAAACTTAGGGTTTACTGGGTCATAGCTGGATAGCATTTTACATTTTATAATGGGTAAGCCCAATAAGGAATAAAAAATGGTCATTGTTAATCCTATCCCAACAATGAACTAGTTTAGGGTTCAGGAATTAAGGTTTAGGATTTAGGGTTTAGGATTTACGGTTTAGGGTTCAGGAATGAAGGTTTAGGATTTAGGGTTTAGGATTTACGGTTTAGGATTTAGGGTTCAGGAATTAAGGTTTAGGATTTATAAGTTTAGGATCTACGGTTTAGGGTTTAGGGGGGAAATAAAGCCTTATCATGCCCTACATACAGCCTTATGGGAGTTTCCGAAAATTAGGGGCACCTTATTTTGGGGGTCCTTACAACAAGGATCCTACTATTTGGGGTACTATATTAGGGTCCCCTGTTTTCGGAAACTCCCTTAAGGTAAAAGCCACCCTTCGATGGTAATTTATAGGGTATCCTACCATGAAACCATATTCCAACTTTCTGGAGTTTCCTGTAAGCCGCAACCCCTAACCCTAAACCCTGCTCTAAAGCCTAAAGGCCTAACCCAAAGCCCCACACCCAACCCGAATACCCGACGTAGACCTTGTAAACCCTAAAGCGTTGCACCCACAACGTTCATGTCAACTCCCTTATCATGCTTGATGAGGCTATCCAGAAGCTGCGCCAGGCCATACTGGGGATCAAGGCAGAGAAGAGGCAGCTTGGAAGACCAGGACCCTCCTTGTACCCTCAAATAGGGGCATATGGTCCCAAATAAAGGGCATTTAGGGTGTAATAGAGGGTAGATGGAGGGTCTAGGGAGCTTTTTGTGGGGTTCAGATCTCAGTTTTTGCAGCGCACGTAACCTGAAGGCCATGGTTTTTCAATTCCCTTCCCTGCCGTTGTTTTTTTCGGGGTGATCAGGGGGGGGTGCGAGTTTACACGGGCTTTATTTGTATTTGGGTCGCCATTTCACCGAAGCACAAAGCACCGAAGGCAGAATGGATTAGCACTTGAACCCTGAACCCGAAACTTAAACTCTAAGCTTTCGATCACCATTTGGGTGATTCTCAAAATTATGGTCCCTTTTTGGGTCCTTATTATATACGGCACCCAATGTTTAGGATACCCAAAAAGGTGCCACAATTTCGACAACCACCCGTTTGTAGAAGCCTCCCGTCCGATCTCCGAAACCCCGAAGCGAAAAGCTTGAACCCCGCGAAACTGAAACCTCAGCCGAGCCTTGTCCTTTTTCATGGTTCCCCCAAAAGAATAAACAGACCGGCTAGTAGACCTGCTTAAATAACTCCTACTAAGGGATATGGGAGTTACCAAAAATAGGGGACCCTACTATAGCACTCTAAATAGTAAGATCCTTATTATAAGGAGCCCAAAATAAGGTACCCCGAATTTTCGGAAACGCCCATTTAGGTATAGGGCTCTGTCTATTATTTCTAAAAGGACAAGGGTGGCCTCTCAGCCCGAGACCTCCCAACTACCCTCTAATATTTAGGGGTTTAGGGTTTAGGGGTTTAGGGGTTTAGGGTTTAGGGTTTAGGGAGAGTATACCCCCAAATACCCATAATTAAAGGCCGTAAGGGCTCTACTTAGATAGCGAACGTGGGAACTTTAAGTTTTTTGGCCTTGTATTATTAGCTCTATCTTAAAAAGTTTGAACTTTTTTGGGCCCTGTTGTTGAAGAAGAGAGAGCATCACCAAGGTACATGTACCTGAGTTCTTGCTTGCCGCTGCTCCTCAAGCGCTGTGCGACGATGGAACCTCCATTCGACCTTTCTAGACAGGAGTCGCGGCTCCTGAGGTAGCCCTTTTTCTTAGGGACCCAAAAAGCATATAAGCATAAGCATTTTATGGGGATATCCCTACCTTAATGGGCTTCATTATAAGGGGGTTTATATGGGATGTCCCTATTCTTATTTTTGCTTATGTGCCTTTTCGGGGCCGTATTTTCCCTCGTATATTTCGAACACAGGGGCCTTAGTCGTTACTTCAACGGGGCTTGGGAGTAGCTTACACTTCTCAAAGTATTGTTGCCTTTTTGGGATTACCGTATAGGATTCTAAATATCAACCCCAAAAAGGAACTACCATGGAGCCTAGGGGTGCTATGCCTAACTATAACTCGACCTTTGTCTTGGAGGTTTCGGGCTTGGGGTGTTCACGGTTTCAGGCTTTTGGGGTTAGGGGCCTAAAGTTCAGGGTTTTATGGGGTTTGGGGTTCAAGCTTCAGGGTAGGGCCGTCAACATCCAACCACAAAACCCTGGTACCCAATTACCCAATAATCACATACTCTACCTACATACCTTCTTTCTGAAACCCACTCGTTTGGAGCCTGAGCACCCATTTAGAAGCCGACAGCCCAACAACGATGCTATAGATCCCTCGATCCCTCGCCGAGACGCCGAGTTCTTGAGCTGCCTGGACCCCTCCTCTGAAGGAACCCTTTACAGGAACCCTCAACACCCACAAACCCTAAACCCTCTCAGTAGCCCTGTAGAACCCTGAAATGAAGCCCACTTAACTTGTCGCGCTTAGAGGAGCTCTTAAGTGTCCCTTTTCCTCTGCAATAGAAGCTTTCAAGATGGAAACCCAATCGCCCCAATCCTTCAGAGTAGTGTATAGGGAATCCCAGCACTATTGGCCTTACTCCGGTTTCCAACCTTATGGGGCTCACTGTAAGGGCTCCCTTACCCATAGTAGTTCCTTGTTGGGATTACCTTATAGAACTCTAAGTATGAACCCCAAAAAGGAACTACATTGGGGCCTTTGGGTAAGTGCCCTAAACCCTAAACCCTAAACCCTAAACCCTAAACCCTAAACCCTAAACCCTGGGAAAGATGTGAGGATGCCTTTCTGGAGCGCCTCGAAGCCCTCCAGGCCCCTGGCTTTTTTAGTGATACGGTTGATGATATAAATCTTGCATTACCCATAATGAGGAATATACCATTATTCCCATTGCTCAGGGTCCTTAAAGTAATGCAGGATTTATATCATCAACCGTATTGTGCTTTTCTAAACCCTAAGCTTGAGGGGCTTCGGGCTTCGGGGTTCGCAGTTTAGGGTTTAGGGTTTAGGGTTTAGGGCTTAGGGCTTCGGGGTTCACAGTTTAGGGTTTTGGGTTTAGGGTTTAGGGTTTAGGGCTTAGGGCTTCGGGGTTCACAGTTTAGGGTTTTGGGTTTAGGGTTTAGGGTTTAGGGCTTAGGGCTTCTGGGTTCACAGTTTAGGGTTTTGGGGCTTTTTTGGGTTCAAGGGCTGCAGGGTTTCAGGATGTAGGGCTCCGGGCTGTGACACGAACGTTGTGGGTGCAACGCTTTAGGGTTTACAAGGTCTACGTCGGGTATTCGGGTTGGGTGTGGGGCTTTGGGTTAGGCCTTTAGGCTTTAGAGCAGGGTTTAGGGTTAGGGGTTGCGGCTTACAGGGAACTCCAGAAAGTTGGAATATGGTTTCAGGGTAGGATACCCGATAATTTACCATAAAGGGTTTAGGATAATCATATTCCAACTTTCTGGCTTTTACTTTAAGGGTACTTGTATTGAGGTTTCAGGATTTGTATAGGTAGGGTGTTTGGTTACAGGATTGAGGGTTGTCAGTCCAAGGGTTTACGTAGGGGTACTTTGTTTTTTTCATTTTTGGCTAGTATAATCCCTAAGAAACAGCTAAAAGTATAAACGTATAATTTTTGCTAGGGTTCTAAGTTCAGTACAGTTTAGAGATTGAAGTGGGTGCACTTCGCTGAGTGTTCACTGCTCTTTCTGCACCCATCATGAACGATGGGCTTGCACCGTTCTAAAGGGGTTGAGTTTTGAGATGTGAACTTGAAGGCATTTGTGTAACAGAAATTTCGAGTATTCGGGGTTTGGCATGTGGTTTCCTTGAACCCCAAACCCTATATCCTTAGACCTAAGGTCGTAGGTTTCTCCTTCTGGGTTTCTATCGCTCAGGGCTTGACAGTCTCGAGTAGGCTCCTGGACACATTTATATCCAGGCTTGAAAGTTCAGGGGTTTAGAGTTTACACGTGTGGGGGTTTAGGGGTTGAGGGGTTTAGTGTTCATGTGGCGAAGGAGGGTGTTTCTAAGAGCAATTGCAGAGATTTTTACAGGGTCGGCCCAGCTAAAGGTCCGACAATGCATGCATCGAGCCTCTCCACGGTGCTCACAGACAGGTCCATGTCGTCCATCAATGTTGGTGTAGGTGAGACCTTGCATACATCTTGTTGCATGTTCGGGTGTAGGTATTGGAGACTGGATTGCCAGTCCATCTTGAGCATCTTATATCAATCCCTGCATCCACCTCAAAGTAAACAGTGGCCCGTGCGCCAAATGTCTTATCGAACTCCCTTGATGAACCCTGTAGCAGCCCCAAGCAGCCGTTTCTTTCAGGAGTTAGCTCTGGCATTCCCCGAGGGCGGCTTCGGGAAGGACGGAACCCCAGATCCTGAAAACCTGCAGTACAGTTTACGGTTTTCCTTCACAACCGAAGATACCCTAATCCACCCCAATCCCATAGTCCTGAAATCCCTCACACCCCCAAATTCCCTCTGACTCCGCCAGATCAGAACGAATCGGCCCAAAACACACATAAAGACAATATCACATGTACCATTTTGGGTCTCCGCATCATAAGTATAGTATAAGATACCCCAAAACCCTATTCTAATCATTACGGCCCTTATATTACATATGCCCGGAACCTGAATCCTCAGCCGAAGCAGATGTAGAACCTGTCAGATCCGGTCTTTGGTGCCCGAACCCCACAAAACCAAAACACAAGGAGCCCCGGAAGCCGTGGGCAAATACACAGAAAATTGCTAAGCCAGCTTGGGATTAGGGTTTAGGGTTTAGGTTTTAGGGTGTCGGGTGTTGGGAGTCCCTGAGCCCTACCTATAGTCTCCATTGTAGTTCCTTTTTTTGGTTAACCAAAATCTCTATTCTTGGGTCCTAACCATAAAACTGGTTAACCAAAAAAAGGAACTACAATGGAGACTATAGGTAGTTTGCGGAATGATATTGTTTCGGGCTTGGAAGGTGTCGAGGTTAGGGTGATAAACCCTGGCCGCCCCACCCTGAATGCCTCAGATCGTAAACCCCCTTCAAAAAAAGAAAAGCATATCCTAGAGCACCCTAGACCCACAACCGCATACCGCCGACAAAATCACATCGGAGTACCTAAAACCTAACCCTAAAGCCCTAAATCCTAAACCCGACCCCCCCAAAATACCCTAAAGCCCTAAATCCGAAAGCCTGAACCGCCAGAAAGCCTCAGAGGACCAGGAGGACGAGGTGGAGGAGGAGCGAAGGCGGCGGAAAATGCAGACCAGAGTCCTGCGATCGATGCTGGGCTCCAAAGTTCTGGTTTGAGGTTTAGGGTTTAGGGTTTAGGGTTCTTCAAATTAAGGGTGCCTTGTACTTCAGTGCTGCTAGATTTTTCTTTGATGTACTAAACCTACACAGGATCAATACTAGCTTTTTGCTTATGTCACGTTGGTTCTAGGTGTTTGGTGGTCCTTAATATGAGGAACTAGGATTTACTTTTTTTTTCGGAAGCTCCCATATGCGAGGCTTCAGAGTTAAAGCTTTGGGTCCTAGCCATACGATACGGTACACACGCGCACAGAAACACGCACATCAGAGATTGGGTTTAGGACTGCAGGTGCTTTAGTTACCGGGCTAATGCTGCTTAGGGGTACTTAGGAGTAAATTCGGTCGAATTTTTGGTTATTATAAATCCCTAAGAAACAGCTAAAATTGTAATTGTTGCTAGGGTTCTAAGTTCAGTATAGGCTGGAGATAAACAAGTATGTAACTTCATTGGGGCTCGAAGTGTAGAGCCTGTTATTTAACCTGCTTGATACTGGGGGTCACAGCTGCAACTCAGCACTCAGTGAAGTCATACCCCAAGCCCTAAACCCTGAACCCCTAATCCCCTAAACCCTGAACCCCTAATCCCCTAAACCCTGAACCCCTAATCCCCTAATCCCCTGAACCCCTAGACCCAAGACCCTAAGTCAAGTTCTGGTGCCGTGCCTTCCTGAGAGCCCACAGCCCTAGCCCCACCAACCCGAAACCCGAAGTTTTCCGTTTCAAAGCTTTTGGTTTGGGGTGTAGGGGTTTAGTTGTAGTATAGTGTTTTGGCCCTAAACTTCAAGCCCTAAGCTCTGAGCTTTCAGCCATAAGCCGCAAACCTTCAAGCCCGACATCCTGTGTCCGGCAAGTACCCTAAACTTAAATGCCACGCCATACCCCAAACCTCAACGCCTGCGAGCTGCCATAAGGATGCTAGCCGCCTTCCTGCTGAAGCTGCTGCAGCGGGCTTTGCCAGTCCTTGGGCTCAGGCTTCGGTTTGTAAGGGTTTACAGTAAAAGCCAGAAAGTTGGAATATGATGATCCTAAACCCTTCATGGTAAATTATAGGGGGTCCTACCCTGAAACCATATTCCAACTTTCTGGAGTTCCCTTTTGGGGCCTAGCTTTAGGGTTCCTTCTTTCTTGGTTTCGCGAAGGGTTCAAAGTTTAAGTTTAGGCCTACCGACTCTTGGGGTAGGGTTTTAGGGTTTATAGTTTAGGGTTTATAGTTTAAGGGTTTATAGTTTATCCTTCTTGGGTTCGTGGAGGGTTCAGAGTTCAGGCTTACCGGCATGTTTTGCACTATTGGTGTGTTGTTTCCTGCTCTGCTTCCTGGGAGGGTTGGTTGACTGCGCGTTGTGCGAGTACGGACAACTATAGAGCTAAGGTTCGCCTGTGAGAACCCACTCCAAAAGCCCGAAGCCCTTTGTTTCCTAAACCCTGAACCCTAAACCCTAAACCGATTTAGGGTTTTGGGTTTAGGCTTTCACCAAACCATACCAAACCCTATGATCCCGTCACCATTCAAAGCCCAGGTTCTTTGGCCTGTTTCGAGTCTGAAAGTGGCAAAGGTCGAGGCTGGCATTCCGGGTTCAGGGTGCTGATGCCTCTGTTTCGTGACATTCTGTTCTTCTCTTTTGTTTTGCGGTTTATGGTGCTGAGCGGCGCCGAGCGAACCCTTCCACAAAAACGCGTCTGACCGTAGACAAGTTCAACCAAAGCAGGGTGAATGAACCAACCACGACAACTCTTAACCCAAAGCCCTAATACCTATCACTCCAAACCCAAAAACAAGAAACGTTTTCAACCCTAAGCCTAAACTTGGTCTAAACCCCAAACCGTCCCTTGCAGGGGGAGACGGACTCTTCACAGCCGGCCCCCCTCGGTGCAGCCCCGAAGGCCACTGACCTATTAGTCTTGCTTGCTTTTCTTGGTAGTAGAGTAGGTCACCGTTAACGTATTTGGGATACTACAATCCCTGTATATTCTCAACACTCAACCTTCAGTTTCCCTAGGATGCTGGACAAGTCGGTTTTTATTGTTACTATAAGTTGGCGGCTAAACTTAAATTAGGTGAACCCTTATAAACCCTTAACCTCACTTCTTTGATGTTCCAGGCAGTGTTGGGGTTGAGGTTCTAGGGGTTTGGGGTTTAGGTCTTTGGGGTGCCCGGACCCGGCTCCCTGGACGTGGGTTTCAGGGCCTAAGATCAGAAAATCGCACAGCCTAGTCCAGAGAGAATGAGGGTTTAGGTTGTCAGACCTCTGGTAACTCCTTCACATATGTACTTGTGGGGATCTCGATGGTTAGTGGTCTTATGCTTGATACTGTTCCAACGGGTTCCTTTGCATATCTAGCCGCGCCACAATAGACCCCAAAACGCTGGTGAATAGTTACTAAGGCACGTATATTACCCTAAGACTCCAAGTATACAAATAGTACCTACTTTGGGGTCTAAAGTCTATAAATGCTACCTACTTTGGGCTATTCGGAGTCTTAGGGTTACTTATTACTACTCTATCCCTTGAGCACGATTAGACTACCTGGCTGTGTAGGAATGTGGATCTTAAGATTGGGGGCTGCAGCTTTTAGCGGGTTCTTGTTAAGGAGTTTACTTCAAGTTCCCATCATCAAGAAACCGTATTATATGTATGTATATATACATATATATATATATATATATATATATATATATGTACTACGAATTCTTATTCTGGTAACTTAAATCCACTTCATCCTTAAGGAGAACGCCGTCTGAGGATGTCAGAGCTTGAGGCGAACAGGATCTCCTGGATAACAGGATGCCCTGTTCCGCGGGTCCCTCTGCGCCATAATTCCTGAAGAGGTCGGGCTTTTAATAGGGTAAGGGTGTAGGGTTTTTAGGGTGTCGTAGGGTTTAGGGCTTAGGCTTTAGGGCCACATTAGGGCTTATGCTCTACGCCGAAAACCCCCAAACCTCAGACTGTTGACCGTAGCGAAGGCCACCCAGACACCTTCGGTGATGCAGTTGGCTGGCCCGGACATCAGGCACGGGGATAGACGGATCGGTAATATAGTGTATCCTCAGTAGCTGGCAACAGTGTTCCTAAGCGCAACCCTAGACCCCAAAACCCTGAGCTCCATCATTGACTTGAAAGCATATTCGATAACCGAAACCTGAGAACATAGCTGACCCAAACCGTTAAACTGAACCCATAACAACACCCCACCCCAAATCCTAGGCCTTAATGCTCGGCAAGGGTGTGATGGTTCATCAGGTTGAAGAAATCATGAGCCCTACATCCTCATAGTTTAGGGTTTACCCTTAGGCTCTAAGCACTCATATTTTTAGGCCTTTGGGCCCAACGACCATACTATACAATGTTTTTGGGCTATTTTGAGCCTTAGTGTTTAGGGTAGGTAGGCATCAGCACAGACTTTAGCCCGAGCCTTGGACATCTAAGCACCCCTATATTCCCAGAGACTCCAAGATCCCTTACTCAAGGGATATGATTTTGAATTATAGTAGGATCCCTAATATGATTTCAGGAATATTCCTTAATTAAGGGATATTCCACTCCCCTGAACCCTATAGATCCCTCATAGATCCCTTAAAGGAACCCTAGGTGTGTTCCTTAATTAAGGGATGTTGGGGTCTCTGGGTTAAGCCGCAGGCCGGAGTGCATCAGCCGACTTTGCAGCCTGGCCAAAGCCGCCGCAGCCACGTCGCCGCGGTCGCTCTCCGCGCCGCTCGGATTGCAAAGCCCAAACCCTAAGGCTCAGAATAGCTCAAAAGCCTTACATAGTATGGTCTTTGGGCCCAAAAGGCCTTGAAAAATGAGTCCTTAGAGCCCAAGGGAAAGGCTTCATTGAAGGTTTGGGGTTCCGGTCGTGGGCTTGAGGGTGTAGGGTCTAGGCTACAAAACTCCGGCAATGAAGCCCCGAAACTGAAAGAAACACATCAAGAACAGCTCTGTCTCCCGGCGCGAGCACCTGACTCAGTGGCTCAGTCCAGCAATAGCATAATGCCAGCAAAAAAACCATCATTCCGCACGAAAGAAGCCCTGCAGGTAAAGGGTCGACCTGGCAAAGGGAGGCATGTGAGTTAGTGGCGGGTGAGAGCAGCACGACTGGGCATTACTCAAACTGCAGCCTCTGAGGCATCCCCAGAAAGGAAATGCCACCACGCCGGAAAGCAAATGCCAGCGCGCCAGATTCTGAATCGCAACCGAACTCGCTCGTTTAATCGAATCAGAACACCCAGAGACTCCAATATCCCTTGATTAAGGAATATACCTTAAATCATATTAAGGAACCTTACTATAATTTAAGGAATATTCCTTAATTGAGGGATATTGGAGTCTCTGGGCAGATGAAGACATCCAGGGTCCGGGAGACGATGTCTCCTCGGCGCGGCGGATTCATTCAACACTCATCGATCACAGCAGATGAACACACCCTTGTGGTAGCCCTTAAGGGATCGTTAAGGGAACCCTTAAGGGGATCCTTAAGGCATATCTAAGGGAACCCCTTAAGAATCCTTAAGGGAACCCTTCGACTTTAAGGCTACCATAGAGTCCTAGAGTAGGGTCCCTTTCGCCCGGGCCGGCTTGTTTCGCAACTCACCGAACCTTAGGGGTACTTTCAAATACTTTTTAAATTGGTTATTATACTCCCTAAGAAAGAGCTAAAATTGTAATTTTGGCTAGGGTTCTAAGATCAGTATAGGAACGACACAGTTACTTGCACTCTTCACATCCACGAGTTTTTGTTTTTTTTGTTCGGAAGGCAGCAGAGCAGAGCCAAGAGGTTCAGGACTGCCGGAACACCCGTGGCTACAGAATCCAAAAGCTTCGTGCTTTACGGACCCTAAACCCTAAACCCTAAACCCTAAACCGGGCAAAACACAAAGCAGACAGGGAAACAACCAAGCCGCGGACCCAAACAAGCTCCAGCAAGCTTCTGGGACCCCGTAAAAACCGACTTATAACAACCTGTAGTAGCTTACGTAGTGCACCACCCTACAGTAGAAGCCCAAAAGTTGGACACCCCATAGCCTCAGTCCTTAAGAGTAAGGTATAGGGAATTCCAGCACTAGTTGGCCTTAACCTGGTTTCCAACTTTAGGGTCTACCTATAGTCTCCATTGTAGTTCCTTTTTGGTTAACCAAATCTCTATTATAAGGTCCTTACCATAAAACTGGTTAACCAAAAAAGGAACTACAATGGAGACCATAGGTACTATTAGGGGATGGGGGAAGGGATTAAATCGAACTAAACCCCTAAACCCTACAAACCCTAAACCCGAAAGAACCCTACAGAGCCCTTAAAGGAACCCTAAACCCTATAGAACCTTTAAACCGATCAAACTGAACTGTATTGGGGGGTGGAGAAGGGTATCCGAGGCTCTTGGAGGAGATCGATCTTGGCGACCCGGAGGGCGATGGGGGCGGAGACTTGGAAATCTCTCCGCCACCTGGGCCAAAACAGACGGGGTGACCCTTAGGCTCTAAGGACTCATATTTTAAGGCTTTTGGGCCCAAAGACCATACTTTGTAAGGCTTCTGGGCTATTTTGAGCCTTAGGGTAAGGGTTGAGGGGTTCATGTTTAGGATGGATGCCTTTCTGAGTTGAACTTTGCGGTTCCGCAGTTTTGTCTTTCTTGCTTCGTTGCAGGCGGGGGGTTTAAGGTAATGTACTTGCAGGCCGGGGTTTTGTACGTAACATACGACCATGGGCTTCTCTCTATATAATCCGGTGCAGATCGTCCAGATTGTCGGAAAGCTTGAGAAATATGCGGCACATCTGGACTGTTTGCACGGCTGTGTCAAGAGGGGCTTAGACGCTAGCTGGAACATCCAATCTTCAATCCTGAACTGTAAGCTAAATGCCAAGTTGCTTCTTTGAACCCTGAACCACAATTCGGTTGATCTGCATCATCATAATTCGAGTCATATAATTAATTTAGTTGTGAAAGACGAACTAATTACTGTTGTTATCCTTACCCTTATTGCTATCATCATTGCTATTGCTGGTATGTATTGTTTTTTTAATGGTTTTCTTGCGTTCTTTTGTCATGCTTGGCAGTAGTGTAACAGTAGCCGTCGTGCTGGGGCTGGAGTATCTGTGGTGAGTGGTGCTGGTGCTGGTGCTGGTGCTGGTGCTGGTGCTGGTGCTGGTGCTGGTGCTGGTGCTGGTGCTGGTGCTGCTGGTGCTGCTGGTGGTGGTGGTGGTGGTGGTGGTGTAGTAGTCTTGGTAGCAACTCCTACTATACGGTACTGCAATTAGTATAGTTATTCGCAAATTCCTACCAGTCTTGCTATCGCTACTGCTCTACATCTACTACGACTACTACGACGACTACTACTAGTACTGCTACTGCCACTACCACTACCACTACGACTACTGGCCCGACTAAGACGACGACTACTCATCACCACTACTCGAAATAGAAGGCCTCTACATTATAGTATATACCCTTATAGATCCATTGTAGTATCTCTTATAGACCCCCTTATAGAGGACCCCTTCAAAGGAACCCTAGAAATACCCTCTTTTTCCAGGCTCTCTCTGGCCAGCTTCGTCCTGCTCGCCGAGCTTTCCGAGCTCGGCTCACACAGCCAGCTGATGCCCTTCGACCTTCACTACGGGTGATGATTTAGGGTTTAGGGGTTTAGGTTATACAGGGTTTAGGAGTTGAGGGTATAAATCCTGCATTACGTTAAGGACCCCAAGCTATGGGAATATGGGTATCTTCCTTATTACGGGTATTGCAGGATTTACATCATCAACCGTAAAACCGCCGTAGGAGTTCCACAAACGTTCTGTGTGGGTTTTGGGGCTTTTCAGGATTTCATTTTGTGAGGGTTCTGCAAGTCTTGTACAGGGGTTTGGGCGCTGTTCTAGCCTTTTGAAGGTTGTTTAGTGTTTCTACGAGGCGCCGAGGACGTAGTGAGTAGGGTATGACCAGATTTCCATGCACCTTAAGCCCACAAAAAACGGGCCCGATGGCAAACCTGTAGATAGCAGCACCCTGTCGCAAAGCCACCAGACCAGGTTTGGGGGTTGAAAGTTTATAGGATGTGGGGTTTAGGATGTAGGGTTTAGGGTTGTCCAAGCAATTAACAACCGAAGGCCCTACGTCGTGCCGCTTTGCTTTTCTCCGGCTCGGCGTCTCAACATTCTCATGCGCAGCTGCGACTGGGATTTCTGGATGAACATGTTAGGTGCAAGCAGGACCAAGCTTAGAGTGGTTCGAGCATGGTCGAACGATACCATTTCTTGGTCTGATATCACAGTTTTTCTACATTTTTGTGGGTTTTCGTGTGCACTCCACAGGGCGTACCTGCGCAGTTTGACCCCAAAGGCACGAACTGCCCGAACTGCCGCAGGCTATGTGCTGCTCTCCAATAGTGATGCTGCTCCCGGGGTGGTGAACCTTGCAGACATCGGTTCCCTCGAGGACTGTCCCCTGGAAGTGGCGGTTTGCAATGCCTGGTTTAGAAGTGTAGGGGATGCTCAGATGGGAGTTTCCGAAAATGAGGGGTACTTTATTTGGGGTCCTGGTAATAAGGATCCTACTAATTAGGATAAGGTCCCCCATTTTCGGAAACTCCCATATGTAGAAAGCCCTACATCTCAAGCTCCCAAAGCCTTCGTCCACCCAACAAGGCTCGCAAATGCGTACGTTAACTGTGTTTGTGTTTGCATTTGGGGGCTTTGCTTCTGGTTCCATACTTGTTACCATGGAGTATCTAGGATGCCCAGTAGTACCCTTATTCCCTTTTTCTAGTCCTAGGTTCCTTATAAAGTTACCCAATACCAAAAAGAGAGGCCTTTTTATTCTTAGGTTACTGGGTATCCTAGGTATTCTTTGAACTATGAGTTTTAGGTGTTGGGGTTAGTGGCGGCATTCCTTGAGCTGTGATGGAGCCCGAAATCTCAAGCCGGGTTTAGGGTCTGCCTGCGGTTTAAGATTTAGACTTACTTAGATTTCCTAAAACCCTAAACTTCCTAAACCCTGGGTTTAGGGTTCACGTTTGTGCTGCCGAGTATTTCTAGCCCTTCATTGTCCTGGAAATATACGCAGCATGTTACGAGAATACCCCCAAAGTCGAGTTCTCAAACATTTGTCTCTCTCAACCCTAACCCTCTACCATCCTAAACGCTCACTGAATACCGCAACCGCGTATGTATCAATCGCACTTGGAGTCAGCTCTGCAGCTGGCGCAACCCTCGTATTACGTGGAGTTTCCGACAATTGGGGACCCTAATATAGTACCTGAATAGTAGGATCCTTATAATATTGACCCCAAAATAAGGTACCCCTAATTTCGGAAACTCCCACATGGAGGACGCCAATACAGCGAGCGCTCCCTCGCAGGGCAGCGGCCCGGGTCATCCGCCACGGGGCCTGGCCCTCTTTTCGCAGGTCGCGGCGCCCCTCTTCGAGGTGCTCCGATCGACCGAGAGTGGGCGGGGAGGGGGAGGTTGTTGGTTCAACTGTTGATGATATACATCCTGCATGACCCATAATAGGGAATATATGAGAATTACGGTATATTCCTAATCATGGGTCATGCAGGATTTATATCATCAATAGTATCTCTGTTCTATCATGTTTTGCAAGCTTCGTTTCTTTGTTGTAGGATGATGATCATGATCATGACGACGATGCTGCTGCTGCTGCTGGTGCCGGTGGTGATATGATGATGAAGATGATGGCCGTGATGACGAGGAAGAAGATGACGCTGGCGATGGTGATGACGGTTTTGCTGGTGTTGTTTTCGTTGCTGCTGCTGATGATGACGGTGATGATGGCAACCACGATGGATAAGTTGCCAGTATTATCATCATGATGATCGCTATTGCTTTTTGCAGTGTTATCTTGTTGATACATATACAGAGTATATGACAAACATACATTCATGTATACACATCTGTATATGTCTGTGTAAATGCCAGATGTAGATGTAGATATGCAATTTTAAGTATGTAGGTACATACTTATGCATGTCTGTATGTAGATTCAGGGTGTAGGGCTTAGACATACATATAGCATACATGCATACGCAGATGCGCACATACAGACATATATACACACATATGTATATGTATGTATATATATATGTGTGTATATATACGCACATGCCTAAACACGTCTATGTGTATACACTTGCATGGCATGTACTGCAAGGCTCGCAATTCCGTTTACACAGTTCATGACGAGGGTCACGATGGCGACTGTCAATCTCAAGATGCCGGCTGATGAGGATGATTGACACTATAAGTATGCTTCGAAGATGACTACAGCAGGGATATCACAATTTGCTGATGATTTTAATGCTGACTGTCGCAGTGATGATGCGGAGGTGCATGTGTTGATGTTGTTGTCGCTCATGGTGATGCTGATGTTAATGAGCCTCATCATCAGAATCAGACTTGAAACTAGCTCCACCATCACCATCGTCAACGTCATCATCACTACCTTCATCATCATGCCTTTCGCTTTGTCGTCCTCAGCGTTTCGTCAGCCGTTGTCATGAGTACAACCTCTTTTTTGTGCATTCTGAGCAGCACGACCTTCTTTACGATAGTTTTCTCTTTCAGAGTTCAGGTTATCTGGATCTACACGCACAGACGCAGATGGCATGCAGCCATATGATTGAAGCTGGCCGTTGCAGTTTAACCTCAACGGAAACCCTGGGCCCTCGCTCGCGAGCTCATTGCCCTGCACCCCTCAGGCCTTAAACCTGACACCCCTTCAAAACCCTTAACCCTAAACTTCTTGAACCCTAAACCCTCAACCTAAACCCGCAACCCTTAAACCCTAAACCCTTAAACCTGTAAACCTTGAGGGTGAACCTCCTGAGCCGCTGTGCTTGCCAGGTCGTCTCCGTGCAATCGCCGAAGGCGCTGTCCTCCCTGAGCGGTTCGTCCTGTCGCTGGCATCCGGAATCTCGAGCTTTCCCAGAGACTCCAATATCCCTTAATTAAGGGATGTTGGAATCTCGAGCTTTCTTGGAAACAGAACAAGAGTCTGAGAACACGATCCTACCCATAGGCTCCATAGTAGTTCCTTTTTGGGGCTCATATTTAGAATCCTATATGGTAGTTCCCAAAGAGGAACTACTATGGAGCCTATGGGTAGAGAGACACAATCCCGGGCCAAAAATTCACTGACTTGGCGTTGGGGCTTGCCTTCTCAGTCTAGCCGAAAAGTTTCTGAAAGCAGGTCTTTAGGCATGCAGAAACATGGCACTCCGCGGTCGTTGTGTGATCGGGCTTGGGCGGGCTTCTGCTGTACAAGCTGAGCTCTAGCTATCTAGCTGAGGAAACCCGATCACCCGAAATCCGTATCCTACAGCCAAGACAGTGGTCGAAGGTGATTGGTGACCACGAAGCTTGCTTAAGACTTGCCATAGGGCTTTAGGGTTTAGGGTTTATTGTGGCAAAGTAATGGCCCAGTACCTGTGGAAGGCCACTGTTCCAATTCTACGTACTTTTGGGGTCCAGGTGGTGTGAAGCCTTAGGCAATCATGTCCCTTGTTTTGGCACTGCCGCGCGAGTCCCTAAACCACAGCAAACCCGAAACCGCCAAATCCCAAACCTTAGACCCTTCTTCAGATCCTTAACCCTAAACTTTGAACCCTAAACCCTAAACCAAACTTTGAACCCGAAACGCTGAACCAAGTATCCGGAGCTGAGGAGAGGACCTTCCAGAAACTCTTGGAAACCCTGACCTCATGCCCGAACATCGAGCAAGAGGCTCGGGGTTCAGGGGTTTAGGGGTTTGGGGTTTAGGGTTTAGGGCCCGCGATGAACAAACAGACCACAGTGTCCAGAATGAGCAAACATTCCTGCAGACTCTTTGTTGCGAACCTCTGGGGAGACAGGTGTCGTCTTCTTCTTGTTGTCCTCATCAGCATTGTTGTTGTTAGGTGTTATATTACTTCGGATGAAGATATAAGTGGTTCAGAGGTCTACATTGGGGGCTCGCTGGCTGGGCACTGAGGTCTTTGAGCGGTTCAGGGTTTAGTGCTTATCAGGCTTACAGCTGTTTGACCTAGATTTGGATCCTATACAACCAGCTACACAACATCCCACTCTCTAACCCCGGAATCCTAAATCCAAAGAACTCTAAGCCCCAAGCCCATTCTGGAAGGCCAGGGGGGCCCTTTTCCGCTCAGCCAGCGCCGCGCTGAAGTTCTTTTCTTGGCCTGCACGCTTTGACCTGTATCTCAAGGTCCCCAGGAAGCACTTGGAGTAGGTCTAGGGCTTTAGTGGCTAGATATACTATAGAATTACCTATACTATTTTTGGGGCTCCTTGTTATAACTATACACCAAACCCCTAAGCTGTTTATTGTGGCCCCTATGGTACATAGGATGTTTGGGGAGTTTAGTATTCGTCTTTTGGGCCACAGACTGAACCGTTGTGGCCTCCGCTGGGTGCAGTGTGAGGCGCATTCTAAGTACAAGCTGTTCGATTGTAGGGTTTAGGGTACCTTATTGCTGGCTGTAAACTCAACTTTTCAACTTTTGGGGCTCTTATAAGGTAGTCGATTCTGAAAGTTTCAACTTTTGTTTTACCGGGTTTTGGACCAGTGAGGTATTTGATGCAAGACTCGTGGTTCTGGGGTTCGAAGTGCAAATGACAGAAACAGCAATTTGCCACTCTAGCCCTCAAACTTCCGCGTATGCAAGTCGTACCTACATGGGGCTGTCGGCTCGTGGTTCTGGGGTTCGAAGTGCAAATGACAGAAACAGCAATTTGCCACTCTAGCCCTCAAACTTCCGCGTATGCAAGTCGTACCTACATGGGGTCTAAAGTCTCAAAGATAGTTCCTGCGTTGGCCTCTTCGGAGTCTTGGAGAAACGCCCCCCCCCCCCCCCAAAGAATTACTATAGGGGCCTTAATAATTGCCTTTGCTATCTTGAGGGCTCCTTATTATCATCATGGTATAATGCGCCCCAAAACCCCATTCTAATTATTCAGCCCCTGTAGTAGAAGCCGGAGCCCGACCTTACAGGTGATCCAGAGCAGTCGTGTGGATGCTGTGATTGGGAGCGTGGTGAGCCTGTTCAAGGACGACTGGTGGAGGTGAGGCTGCACAACATCTGAAAGATTGGAGCCTTCAAAGGTAAACTTCAAGCACTCAATCTGAGGGTTTCGAGCCCTCGACCGTACATTCTTCAAGCTCTCAAATTGAAACCGAAACCCTGAACCCCAAACAAGCCCTGCAAGTAGTTGTTGAGGCTCCTGTGCATCGTTTTTAGTCGTTTTCTTGCCACCTGGAAGCCCGAAACCTTGGTCAGGGGTTTAGGGTTCGGGGGTTTTGGGGTTCAGGGTTTGCACTTTAGGGGTTCAGTGGTTGAGGGGTTGAGGGGTTTAGAGGTTTAAGGGCTTAGGGCGTTCTGCCAGGCGTGTCTCCCAGAACTCTGGGGAAATGGCCGAGCAACGATCTCAACTGATAAATGTGCTCACAGCCACGCTGTCTGGGGAGGCGCCCAGGGTTGTCAATTACAGTCAACGAACCTGAGACTTAAGATTTGTTTGGGAGCTTTGTGCTCAATTACACCTTAAACTCCTAAGCCAAGTTATTAAACCTGGAAACCAAACCCACAGGTGCAGATTATTGATGGCATGGACACGCTGACTGCTGCCTTGAACATTCTACGTCTGGTAGCCCTTTCCAAGCTGCCTGCGGGGGCGTTTATGAAGCTTGGCCAACACTTCCCCCCGACCCTAATCACACATACTGTAGCTTACTGAGGTTTAGGGTTTATGGGTTTAGGGTTCAGGGTGTTAGGGTTTAGGGTACTGTACATCAAGCACGATGAAAACCTTCTAGCACCTGTAGCCCAGTAACCAATTATGCTCGTGAGGCTTGCTTTTTGGGTCCACGCGTTTTGGTCGAAGCAAGTAAGGACATGTAACTGCAAGACTCCCGGTTACAAGCCCTAAACTCGAAACCCTGAAAACCTGTGTAAATCCTCATCAACCTAAACCCTAACTAAACCCTAACCCGGAATTAACTGAAGCTGCTGAGGCGAGAGTCTCTGGAGAAAGCGCCACTGCAGCTGACGGCGAAGTTGAACAACATCTCGACACTTGGGTTTACGTGGACCCCGAAAGTATGTAGAATAAGAGCTGTTTATGGGTGTTGTTGGGCCATCATTCAACTTTAACCTATATGATATGGGTGGTTGTCAAAATTATGGTCCCTCTTTGAATACCCTAAATAATAGGTGCCTTAACCATTGTATAATAGGGACCCAAAAAGGGACCATCATTTTGACAGCCATCCATATACTGTTTTTAAACCCTAAACCCTAAACCCTGAACCCTAAACCCTAAACCCTAAACCCTAAACCGTGGCTCTTATTGGGGGTTTAGGTAGAACTTGCGGGTTTCCAGGCTTTGAGATTTCTGTGGAGTTTTCTTAGGGCTTTGGTTAGGAGCTGCCCCCACCCTGTAATAGTGGTTTAGGGTTTAGGGTTTAGGGTTTAAGGTTTAGGGTTTAGGGTTTAGGGTTTAAGGTTTAGGGTTTAGGGTTTAGGGCAGTTTTCTTAGGGCTTTGGTTAGGAGCTGCCCCCACCCTGTAATAGTGGTATAATAGGAATATAACAGGGCCCTAATATAATCCTATATAATCCTTATAGTCACTATTACAGGGTGGGGGCAGCTTCCAGGGCTTTGGCGTTCCAGGGTTTAGGTCTTAGGGTGTGGGCTTTAGGGTTTAGGCTTTAAGAGGTTTCGGGGTTTACTGTTCGGGGTGCGTTGCTTTTTGGTTTTTGGTGGTTCAGGGCTTAGGATCTAAGGGTTTCGGGATTCCTGCTCGGCGAGTTCCGGGTCCCCTTTGTTTTCTCCAGATTTCAAGCTCACTGGAAGCTTTGAATGAGGCGGCTCTAGGATTAAAGTAGGGGCACCCTATCCAGGTGCCTACGCCAGGCCCCTCGTATAGTTTCTGAAACTGACCCAACTCTACAGTAAAAGCCAGAAAGTTGGAATATGATTGTCCTAAACCCTTTATGGTAAATTATAAGGTATCCTACCCTGAAGCCATATTCCAACTTTCTGGAGTTGCCTTTAAACCCTAAACTCTAACTCTGAGTTCTCGATGTGGGCTTCACCACTAAGGAAGCAAATCGATGCAGAGCTGAGCGCCTCGGTTCAGGGTCAGGATTTTAGGGTTTAGGGTTTAGGGGTTTAGCGGTTTACCTAGACCCCCCGATTGCCCAGCATTACACCCCGAAATACGCACAAATTAAGGGCCGTAAGGGCTCTGTCAGGGGGCGCGTGGGGGGTTCTGGTAAGGTTTAGGGTTCAGGCGGTTTGCGTGTGTATGGTCTTGGTGCTTTTGGGGGTCTGCTGTGGTTTTCCTGTTATGCCGCTGGTCTTTGGAGCAGGTTCTCTCCCTTTGTGGAAGGTCTCTGTGTGCTGCAGAGCCGGCCTATCTTCGGTTTTGGCATTAGGACTCTGTGGCATTCGCTGCAGGGCTTGTCTGGTGAATTATGGGTAGAATGGATCTAATGTGAGCTCGTGATTATTAAAGGTCCCCTCAATAGAGGTAAACTCAGCCCAGAACTCAACAATATAAGGTCCCCTCAATAGAGCTAAACTCGGCCTGCACGTAATTTTTAAACCCCCCTCAATAGTCCTAAAACCCGTCCCGGTGTTAATTTTTAAGGTTTAGGTAAATAAGCACTCCTACTACACAGTGACGCCCTGGAAGAGGAGAGACAGAAACAGGCAAGATAGAGGAGTACTATCACTGTATATACTACTGTACTGCTACTTACTACTGTACTACTACTGCACTCTACTGTACTTTTACTGTACTATTGTACTACTACTGTACTACTGTACTACTAACTGTACTACTAACTTTACTACTACTGTACTACTGTACTACTTTTGTACTACTGTACTATTACTACATGTACTACTACTGGGAGCCCCGGCCCCCAAACAACTTCGACCCCGGCCCCCACAAACAACTAAGGATGATCAGTTAGGTACGGCCCCCACTCAGTAATAGTTGAATAGTACTCATAATATAGATATAGTAGGACCTTAATAGTAGCCCTACTATAGACTCTTACTGTATGGGGGCCGTACCTAAATGATCAGAGAGGCGGCCCCCCAAAAAAACGATTGCGTGGTTTTGGTTGTTTGTGGGGGGGCGGGGCGGGGTTACTTTCTCGGCCCCACTCACGGGCCATCAAAAACTTTGGGGGGCTCTCAGGGTGCCTTCTTTTTCCTAGAAGGGTGTAGCGCTGTCTGACTCGGCAAGGGTTTAGGGTGAGGGTTTAAGGTTGAGGGTGTGTGTGTGTGTGTGTGTGTGTGTGGCTTTGGGTTTTCAGGGTTTGGGGTGTGCTTTTTCGGGCTATGGGTGTTCGGCATTCTGGGTATGCTTTGGGTTTTAAAGATTTTCATTCGGGTGTAGGGTTTCGTCAATGTTCATGGGCTCCTACGTGGCAAAGCTTAGGTATGCTGTCTCACGGCGCCACGGGAAGCTTGTCACAAGAACTGGCTCTGGCTATGGGCACCGAGCAGGCACAGCGCAGACTTGTGGTTTGTTTCTGGGCTCTAAGCCACAAAGCTCCGAGAAACTTAAGTAGAAAAGAAGCTGTACACCACTACATGGGGGTTGTCAAAATTATGGTCCCTTTTTTGGGTCCTGATTATAATACGGCACCGAATATTTAGGGTACGTACCCAAAAAGGAACCGTAATTTTGACAACCACTCACAGGGAGACCCGGAGGCATGAGACTTAATTAGCCCGAAGCCCGAAAAAGCTAAATCTTAAACCAGCCCCCAACACCACTGAATCCCTTGCCGAATCCCCTCGACCATACGGGGTTCCGAACTCAGGGTTTAAGGATGTTTCAGCGTCAGGTGGGTCTCTTTAAAAGATCAGGGGGTGAGGGGCCTTGGGTCTTGGGGCTTTAGTTTTCAGGGTCTGCGGCGGCTTGAGGGTTCTCAGGGTTTGAGGTTTTTTTCCCGCTTCAGGGCTTTAGGATTGAGGGCGCGGAGCTGTCGAACAATAGATGCTTAATTTCAGGCTAAGTTGCAGTGTTTTGGTTTGGTTTCATCGCGATTACCCTTGCCCAGCGCCTACACCTAGAAACCCAACCACTACATGAACCCCGGAATCCCCACTACCCCAACCCCCGAAACCCTTACACCCCCTGACGCCTGAAACCACCAAACCGCGAAACCTTGTAGACCCACCAACCCCAAACCCGAAGGCCAAGTTTCGGCTTCGGAAGATAAAAGTCTCTATGCAAGTTGCAGGCTTGACCCGGTGCTCGTTTCGGATACTGTAGCTTAGTGTCCTCTGTTAAGGCCCCATATGGGAATGTACAAGAAACCCTCGCTGCATGCATGCTGATCCATGTAAGGCTCTAGTATGGGTGGTTGTCAAAATTATGGTACCTTTTTGGTCCTTACTATACTGCGGCACCTACTATTTAGGTGGTACCCTACAAGGGACCCCAATGTTGACAGCCACCCATATGGACTTCCTAGGATGCCATTCATTTCTCCCGAGAAGAGCACGATAAGTCGGATATGTGGCTTGGGATGTTTGGGCGTGTTCAGGGCGCTGCTGGGTCTCCACCCCCGCATGCTTGACCTGGTTTCGGCGACATTCATAGTTTGTTTAGGCTATAAGCTTAGAAGAGATTTGCCGAAGGTTTGTATCAAAGCCCTCGATGTATAGCCTGAGCAATCCAAGTATCCCTGTTTCGGGCACCTAGAATCCTAGAAAGGACCTGAACACAGAAAAGCCTACATTTGTTAAGGACACAACTACTATTTGCTTAAGAACCCCCAAAAAATAAAAACAAATATTCCTTATGGGGGGTAATATAGGGATTATTATTTTTATTTTTTGGGGGTTTCTTAAGCAAATAGTAGACAATACAAGGACTTCGCAACAAGGAACCTGCCGACTCTGGGTGTTGATGTATTGGGATCCCGGTAGGGTTGGGGGCCCTTTTGACTTAGTAAGTAGGGTTAGTAAGGTGGGTTATGGGGATTATAATGGGGTTTCTAGGGGATACTAAGTAGACTTACTAAGTCAACAGGGCCTCCAAGTAGGGTTGGGGGGGTCCAGTTGGGGGATCCACATCCACTTGGAGGTCGATCTGAACCAGATGAAGAGGGATCGGATCAACATGGTCGCGCACCTGGTGAGCCGAGTTAGAGAGATTCTCTCAGAAAGTACATCCTAGATTCGACCGAGCCTTGACGAACCAAGCAACCTGAAACTTCAAACCCCAAAGACCTCTAGAAAGTTCGACACTTAAAGCCTGCATCCTTTGAAAACCCTGACATTATGGCCACACCACCCGAACCCTGTGCCCGATGTCCATGACCAAGAGGGGCCTAAAACACCCTTAGGTGATCACCAGCTCAACCTGAGCCTCATACCCGAACATCCCGCAACCTGGACCCTAAGTCCTGTCCAATGCCAACCCATCCCGAAACCCAGGTAGTAACTCTTAAACCTGTTATAGGGGTTTGCAACTTGGTACTTCTAAAGAGCGACATATATACTTCTGAATAGCTGCTTGCGCGGCAGGTTGTGGCCTCCTATACTTACAGAAGGGACTGTAGGTCTGTAGGTCTAGGTCTTCGGATTCATTCAGGAGAAGCAGACCCCAGCTTAGCAAGCGTCTTCCGCTCATGACGATTTAGAATCGGGGTCCTCTGCTTAATTGGCTTGGCATTCTATTCAAAAACTCGCTGCAAATAAAGTCCGAGGTCTTTATGTAATACATCCGAACCCTATATTCTACTCATTAGCCTGTATAACTACCCAAACGGTCCTAGGTCCTAGGCACTGTTAGGAGGCCTACTTCCCCAAATCCTCATAGTAATTCCCTAAATAGAAACCCTGTATTCTGCTGTATAGGTACTTAGGACCCTTAAACCTAAACCCGTATAGTAGCCGTATAGAAGCCCTTAAAGACACCCTTAAAGGACTTAGAGTTAAGGACCAAAAAGCACATAAGCATAAGCATTGTACCGGGATATCCCTACCTTATTGGGCTTCCTTTTAAGGGGGTTTATATGGGATATCCCTATCCTAATTGTTGCTTATGTGCTTTTTTGGGGCCCTATAGAGGAGGCTCTTAGGACCCTCTGGGCTACGGGCTTGGCAGCCCAACTCCTGGGGACCTTCTGGCTGTGACTGCGCGGGCGATCGCGCAAAAAACAGGGTTTAAGGGTTAGGATTTAGGATTTAGGGTTTAGGGCTTCGGGTTTTAGGATTTAGGGTTTAGGGTTTCGGGTTTAGGGGTTAGGGTTCAGGGTTTAGGGTTCAGGGTTTAGGGTTTAGGGGCCGAGGTGTAGCCGTCTGATGGATTCAGGCTGTACCGGACGTTGGGGACCGCAGCACTGATTGTCCTTCTCGGACCTGGAGTAGGCCCTTATTCCCTTTTTCTAGGGTTCAGGTTCCCTTATAAGCCTCTTTAAACCGAAAAGGGCACCCTTTTTATTCCTAGGTTACTCTTGGGTCTAGCCTTAATTATTACAATTAGGGTTTGGTTGGGGGTTTAGGGTTAGTCTATTGGTTTATGGGGCTGTTTCATCTGTAATTAGGAGTCTTTACAATCCAAAGAGTTGGGTGTTGCAGGTTTAGGCTTTTGAGCCCAAGCCCTGCAGCAGAGTAGCTAGTGGAGCGGTTACCACAGGTCGCACTGAATCTTACGATCCACATTTGCAAAAAATCAGAAAAGCTTGGAACCAATCCTAACCATGATCTGGGTAAAAGTGTACAGCAGGATATAAACCAGAAACAGGGTTTAGGGTTCCTACTTGGAGGTTCATGGGGAGTTATAAGTAGGTTTATAAGTAGGGTAACTATACTTATAACTTATAACCCGTATTAGGGGACTTATAACCCCACTTATATCTACCCCTGAACCTCCAAGTAGACCCTAAACCCTATACCCTTATAGAATCCCTATAGATCCTTTTAAAAGGACCCTTAAAGGAACCCTACTTACGACTACCCCCGGACCTCCAAGCAGAAACCCCTGCCTTTTTTTGACTGGAAGCCTTGCAGCTTCCGGAGGGTTTAGGGTTTAGGGTTTAGGGTTTCTGGAAGCCGCAACCCAGAGGGTCCAAGTACCCAAATAGTAGGGTTTTTTAGGTCCCCAAATCCAGGACCTAGAAACCCTACTATTTGGGTACTTGCACCCTTAGGGCAAGACTTTAATTCGGGCTTCCCTATATGGCTCCAGTTACATTGATAGTAGGTTACTGGGATACAGAATCTATGGCTAGTAACCGACTTTTTAGGTAATTGGAGCCCTAGGGCTTTCAAAGCTAGCCAAAAACACAAAACTTCCCTGCAAATGTCGAGAAACACGCCGCGGTTCATGAGGGGCTGTGGGCGTCGCACATTGCCGATACCTTGGACGTTCCGCTCCGTCGTAAAACCCCAACCCCGCAAGCACCAAACTTCCACAAACCCCCTTCCGAGAGACCCCAACATAAACACTCTAATCCTGTATACTTTGGCCTCAAATTAGTCCGACCACATAGGTACCCTAGGGCCGCAGTATCCATCATGGTACATGGGCCCTTAGGGAATCAACTTAGTCACCACTGCCAGTCCCAAAACCTTCAAGAAAAATCTTGGAGGCCACCAGGCCAGTCAGTACCCGTGTGTACAGGATCCTCGGGTTCAGTTCTGTTTAGGGCCTGTTCGGGGTTAGGCTTCAGGGTTTAGGGTTCAGGGTTTAGGGATTAGGGTTTAGGGTTCAGGGTTTGGGGTTTAGGGTTTAGGGTTCAGGGTTTAGGGATTAGGGTTTAGGGTTCAGGGTTTGGGGTTCAGGGTTTAGGGATTAGGGTTTAGGGTTCAGGGTTTGGGGTTTAGGGTTCGACCGCAAAGGACGACGTTGACGCTGAAGAAGGCCCCTGCTTATTGAGGGGGCATTCGGGAGGCTGTTTGGCGGATTTGTTGGGCGGATCAGGAGGCCGAGGGAGCGAAGTCACTGTTGTTAGTATTAGTAATTATTGGTATTATTGTTGTCATTGTTATTATTGTTATAATTTTTGTTTTATTATTGTTTTTATTATTGTTATTATTGTTGTTATTGTTATTATTATTGTCATTATTATTACTATTATTTTTATTATCATTATGATTATTATTGTTTGTGTCATTAGTATAGTAATATGTTTACCGCTTTTGCTGCAACTAGCGGTATTGGTATTGTTATTGCTCGTATGATGATGACGACGATGATGGTTCTTGTTATTCGTTAAAGCGGTTCTTGAAGCTCACTTATCCTCCATACCCACATCCTGAAGCTACGACCTACTCCCGAGCCTTACACCCCGAGTCGCGCCCCCACATTTCACAAGCGCAAGGCCGTCAGTCCGAAACTCAAACCCTGAATTCAAACCAAAACCCATAAACCCCAAACGTTAGTATTAAACCCTAAACTCTAGCCTTAAACCTTCAACCTCGAACCCCAAGCTACTAAACACACAGTGGAAAGACTTTCTACGGAAGGACGATAGGCTGCCGGGTTCTCAGCTTCCTCGAGGTTTGAGGCACCCTGAAGGATCGTGAAGTCAAGATCCTAACCGCAGGTGTGAGGATACCGCGCACTTGGAATGAACCGCAATGAAACCCCTAAGCTATAGTACGGTACACTAGTCATAGTTTGGTGGGGAAAGCGTTGCATCATGAATACAAGATATGCTGTAGTTCGCATGGCATTGGGCCAGAGGGTACTGCAAGAAGTTGAAATCGTCGGTTAACGGCGCGAGCTCCGTAAACGCTCGCACAACCTGCCGGACCCTCGGCTCAAGCGTTTGCGCTGCCAGCAAGGGCTCACGACATGAATCCCATCGGAGCCATCTGTAGAGGGTCGTCCTCAAGGCCTCAGCTCAGCTCATGTTTCTTCCAGACCTAACTTCCTGACTGGGGCCAACCTGAACCCTGTCCATGCACATGCACTAGATCCTAAGCCATGAGCCCTAACAACCAACCTTTTAAACACCTTCTCCCCTCAACCTTGAAACGTAGGCAATTAGCCCAAGCCCTCGAAGCCCGGTTCCTTGGGCCTCGGACCCTGAACCCTCACAGTCTCAAACTTGTCAAGTCTATACACCCTAACCCTCTCATTAATTCTACACCCTAACCCTAGCCTTCCAACACGAAAGCATCCCCTTCAGTCGGCTGTTGCGCGCCCCGCAATGCCCAGCAATCGGTGGGGGGCTCAGTCTGGGTTGCTCGTTCCGGGGTAGGGTTTGGGGTTTAGTTTGCACGGGTATAGCCCTAAACCCTAAACAAAGGGTGTTGTGCACTTGGGAGGTCAGGGTGGGCTTTATAGCTGGGGTCACACGGCTTTAGGGTTCAGGACGAAGGTGCAGGAGTTCAAAGCTACAGTGTTGACAGCTTTTTGGATTTCAAGGTTTTTTTCCAAGAAAGTTTGGGATATCAATCGTGTATCGTCGGTATATGCTATAATCAGACTATACAGGAATGTTATCAATTTCATGATTTGACGCCCATGGCATGGTGCTAACTCAACATCTTCTTTCCAAGAGGTCCCGGGATTCTGTGAGTGAGGGTATAGATAGGCCTAAGTCAAGTCCAAGCCCGACAATCCCCTTAAGGTAAAAGCCAGAAAGTTGGAATATGATTCTCCTAACCCTTCTATGGTAAATTATAGGGTATCCTACCATGAAACCGTATTCCAACTTTCTGGAGTTCCCTATAAGGAGTTTAGGGCTTAATCAGGTTCATGGACAAATCTGAACTCTTTTCGGCTTATAGGGCATTGTAGGGCTATGTCGTGCGTGCAGAGTTGCATTCCATAGATGCCCTGTTTTGCCCAGTGAACGTGCCCGGCTGCCTCGAATCGGGAACACTGTCAGGGACTTTTCGGTCCTTCTGCCAGAATTGAATATCATCCACAGGACTTCGATCTATAGGGAACTCCAGAAAGTTGGAATATGGTTTCAGGGTAGGATACCCTATAATTTACCATAAAGGGTTTAGGATAGTCATATTCCAACTTTCTGGCTTTTACTGTAGGGTTTAGGGTTCAGGGGTGTGGCGATTGCCAGGTGCCTTTGCTGCACCCGGCCATCCAATTCAACAGGGGCCCTTTTCCTGGTTCCTGTTTGAAACGTCTTGTTGTGTCGCTTAGTTGCGCTACCAAGAAGGGATGATGCCGATCGGATCACCTCGTGTCCCTCACCTATGGCTCTTCGCTGGCGGCATCGGTGGCTACCGAAAACGAGGTCTCTGATGCTGGTGCTTCTGCGAATCACCCAGCCCAACATGCCAGAGCGCCTACCGGTATGCCTGAAACCTTAAATACTTTGAGCCCTCACCCTGCACCACATCCCCCACTACACTAAAACACAGACCCCACAACCCTACACCACGAAGCCCTCAACCCTAAAACTCCAAAACCCCCACCCCACCTGCCCCCCACAACAAAAGCAAAACCCTAAAACTGTCATTAATCTACGGAAAAATCGTTGTCAAGCAAAAAGTCCTAGGAATCCCAGTGCACTGTTAGTGCCCTTAAGTCTCCGAAACTCTGCAGCCCTAAACACACAACCCGGTACCTAAAACCCATGAAATCCAAAGGCAGAATGCGTCGAGCGATTGCCCGTCTGAGCATCAGCGCGAAGGACTGGAAGGATGTCCATCGACAGGTGGGGCTTTGGGTTTGGGGTTCAAGGCTCAAGGGTCTACAGTGGGGCATTTATATTTGGGTTTAGGCTTTAAAAGTAAGTAACCAGCTTGTAATCAAGTAGGCCTTAAACCATTCCCTCAAGTTGTGGGTTCCGATTCAACTTTGTGTGCTTAGTGCTTACTGAAAGGCTGGAGTTGCAAAGTTTCGGTGCAACGGTGTCCTTAGCAGGCTTGCCACAATGGTTCCAGGACAGGATCCGCGACACTGCCCCTGGACAATGCAGTATCCCATTCGCATCTGCGACCTGGTCGAGATGTATAGTGGCCATGGCCATTTGAGCCAGGAATAACATGCAGCACCTGTGGCAATTGCCTGGGCCTTTCCGGCATAGCTTTGGGGTTCCCTTTGACGGTTTGGGGGTTGCAGGGTTTGGGTATTTTCGGCCTCCATAAGTAAGCCTTTTGTGAGAGTTTCGGCTTCAACTTCCTTGGGTATTGGAGGAGGGGCTTTGGTCGTCAGAATATGGTTTAGGGTTTCGGGTTTAGGGTTGAGGGTTCACAGATAACTTCGTAGGGACTATAAGGGGGGCATCATCGTCCATGTTTATTCCTGTCTGTTCGGACAATCTATCTTAAGTCTAAACCCTGAAGCCCAAAGCCCAACCCCTAACACCCTAAACCCCAAACCCCTAAACTCTGGGGGTCTATTCCTGTCTACTCAGACTTCTATCTTAAACCCTAAGCCCAAAACCCCTAACCCCTAAACCCTGAGGGATTTATCTTAAAGTCTCTGGGCAGGTGCTGGACGAGGTACGAAGGGCTGAGTTCATCGCCCTCGACCTCGAGCTCACCGGCCTTCATGTCGGGGACTTTGCTACACAAGGAAGGTGGTGATGGAAGGTGGTGGTGGGGGCTGTCGTGGTGGTGGTGGTGATGGTGCTGCTGGTGGTGCTGGTGGTGGTGGTGGTGGTGGTGGTGGTGGTGGTGGTGGCGGCGGCGGCGGCGGCGGCGGCGGTGGTGGTGGTGGTGCTGCTGCTGCTGGTGGTGGTGGTGGTGGTGTCAGTTATGTCGCTGTGGTGGTGGTAGTAGTTGTTGTTGTGGTAGTAGTAGTCAAGAGAAGCCCAAAACCCGAACGCTGCTCCCTTTGGACTGCCTGCAGACCGAAAAGGTGCTTAAAGCAAAATGGACAGCACCCAAAAGAAGACACAACAAGCAGCTCGACCCTGAGTTGAAAGAAACAGAAAAGGAGAAGCAGCAGTGGTCTCGTGTTCCTTATAGAACATTACCATAATATACCGTATTCATTCTTCAACTCTAAGCCCTAACCCTAAAGATCCTTGAACCCTAAAGCCCCCCAGCCCTAAACCTAACCTCACACCTGAACTCCATACCCCAGGTCAAGAACGAGAGGTTCATCGGCATCGAGCGTTGCTACTCCGCTCATCGCGACGGGGCCAAGACCTTCCTGCCGGTCCAGGTGCAATTGAATTTGGGGCTTAGGGCTCAGGGTTTGCGGTTTAGGGTTTAGGGTTTAGGGGGTCATTAAAGGGAACTCCAGAAAGTTGGAATATGGTTTCAGGGTAGGATACCTCATAATTTACCACAAAGGGTTTGGGACAATCATATTCCAACTTTCTGGCTTTTACTTTAGGGCTCAGGGTTTGCGGTGTTTAGGGCTTTCAGGGTTTTCAGTGGTTTAGATTTAGGAGGTCTTGCAAGTGCAGATTGAGCTTCGCTTCGTTTTTCAGGAGATTGCCGACCCGAATTTAGGGGTTAGGGCCAGGGTAGTTATTGATGTCGTTGGGCTAGCTTGACTCGAGGGTAGATCAGATCAGAACTGAGCGTGGCCCCGCGTTCTCTTCCATATGCAAGGCTTCCACGGCCATCGAGTCTGCAGTCAGCAGTTGTGAAGAGGACATGTTCGGCTTGCTTAACTGCGTACTTGTGACCATAATTAGCCGCCTCCACTGAAATGGACACACTACTCAAGGAAGGAGCGCAAGCGTCGCTTTCGGGCACTGATCTACGGGTACCGGTTTCGTGCCATTTAGGCACACGTCACCCATACAACTGTGGTAAGCAGCTGTTGAGCAGTGTTAGCCTGGACATTGTGCTGCTACTTTTTATGTGCATGCACATAAAAAGCCCACCCAGCCCTCACCCCGGCACGAAGTTGTACCGGTAGGTTTGCCGGAAAAGACTGAAAGAACATTTCCATGCCACTGTCAACGTAGCCTCAGGCAGTGTTGACTGTTTATACGCTTCAAAACGTGACAATCTAGCTTTCAGCATGTTCCATGCTTTTTGGAGTCCAAGCCGTTGGGTCACGTTACTGTACTCGAGCTTGCAGACAATACAGTTCACTGAAGAGGTCGACGGGATTTCAGGTTCACACCGAAGATGCCGACTTCGAAGCTTGTGTAACAAAGTCATCCGACGATCCACATCGTAAGTAGCCTGTGCAAGCCATGATTCTGGATGCAATCTGTTTGCGAGCTGTCGTCGCATAGATTCCACGTCGTCAAGAAAACCAGACTCCGTGCTGTTCAATATCAGAAATCTCGGGACTTGACTCTTGAAGATATGTTTCCGACATGGCAAAGGATGCTCACTGTACGCATGAAGATACTGTGGATTGTGTTGTGGCTTGCGGTACACGAAGGTGTTCAACTGCTCTCCGTCATACCTGATGGAAAGATCCAAGAAATCGAGTCGAGAAAATGACACTTTGAAAGTCCATTTGAACTGCTTGGTGTCAACGCGCTGAAGAGCTGACAAGAAAGACTGAACAGTAGCCTGATTTCCAAGGAAAATACTGGCGGTGTCGTCGACATAACCATATACTTGGATAGTAGTCCAGTTTCAAAAGCCTGACTCACGAGAGGTCTGACATGATGTTCTCGGTGTATGTTTGCAGCATCGGTAGCTATGCGCTCACCAATACTTAAAGACCGTGCTTTCTTGTAGACCTTGCCATTGATGAAAACCGCTTTGTTGTGTAGGATGATGAGGACTAGCTTCGCAACAAAGTCCTTGGCAGCCTGATTCACGCCGTAGTAGTTATCCAATCCAGAACAGAGCGAAACCTGCAATGAATCCAAGTTTATGCGTGGGTAGAAATCTTCCAAATCGGCAGCTACAAAGACCAACTGACGAGTATCATGTCCGAGTGGAGCTGGATGGTCCAGTAAATCCAACAAGACTTGTTTCGAGTCCATGACCGTTGTCTCGCAAATGCAAATCACCTTTCGCAAAATGCTGGAAACGAAGATCGTCAGATTGTTGAAGGGGGACCGCGTATCAACCTCGACTCGACGTAACTTGCATCCTGGTTTGTGTAGCTTCACGAGATATCGGATTTTGCCCAGGCATGTCAAAACTGCAGGTAATGAAGCTCTGCTTGGATTGGGGAATCCCAGATCGCGGAGTGGCTGTAGAATAAAGTTCATCGTCCCAACATCAATCAAGTGGTTCTGACTAGCACGATCACAAAGGGATCGCAAAAGGTCATATGCTGAAATCAAAGACCACATGAGCTCGTTGCCTGAAACTTCGGTGAAGGCACCATCGACGGTTTCCCGAAGATATTGTTTGCGAAGATAACCTGCAGAAATGTAAACAGGACCATATCCTTTGTCTGCTGAGATCTTGCAAACAGAGCTTCTGTTAGCTTGAAGCCAGCTAAGAGCTTTTTTGATATAGAACGGCATTGTGGGCTGCGGCTCCCAAGATTGGAGGCTGCTGGCCTTTGACAATAAACCCTCGCACCATGACTCCAATTCTTGTTCGATCTCTGCATTCAGCTTAGGGTTGAAAGATGAAGGCAATCGGAACCTCTTGAAGAAAGGAGTGTGGTTCTGCTGCTTGTGGGGCTTGCTGTCGAAGAAAAGCCGTAGTTTGACTTTGCGTACAAGTTCTCGGACTGATGACTGGAAAGATGCACGGCAATACCGCGCCAAAGGAATGAATTTGTCTCCAAGGACGAGCAGAGTTTGCGCTGCTGGAGGAAAAGTCTCTGGATCAATATCTGTATGATGCAAAGAAACGAACTTCCGAATCAAAACCAGATCAACCAAGGTCAGCTGCTGTACATACTCAAAGAAAAGAGCTGCAAGGTTGCGGGGCGATTCACGCTGTACATGGGGTGTAGCTTTGCTTTGGTGTCCGCGGCGTTTGTTGCCAAAATGGCAACGGCGGAGATTTCGAAGGTTCATGTACATGTCACGCGGCTTGCATTGCTGCGGCTGCTGTTCCTGCTGCCGTGCTGCGACTGCCTGCTTTTGCTGCGGGATGTGTGGCGGCTGAAGCTGCGGTGGCTTTTCATAGATTTCGCGGAACTTTTTGACTGCCTTGATTTTGAATCTCGGTTGGCTGAAACTTGCCGCTGCGAGCTGGATCGTCCTCTCGTAGAAGATGTCTTTGCGTCTTGTCGCGATGCTTTGGAACTTGTTCTCATCTGCGCTTGCCGACGGTGAGCTGAAGCGGACCTTGCGGGTGCGGGTGCTTGATTCTTTCTGCTGGTGCTTCTGTTTGTTTTGCCTTTGCTTCGAGCTCGACTGGGAGTATTGTGCTTGTGTTTGGATGCTGCGCTGTTGCTGCGACGATGCTTGTCTTGTTCGCTTTTTGAACCAGAGCCAACCATGTTGCCCTTCACCTTGGACTTGCTCTGCTGGAAAATCTTCGTCATCCTTGAGTCCAGGTGGGCCAAGCCGTTTTTTTGCAAATCGGACTTCATGTTGTAGACCTGGTCCTCGAGCATCGTCAACTGCTGTCCGCGCCTAACACGACGATATTCGCTAAACATACAGAAATCGAACGCTCCTCCATTTCTCGGAAGAAAACCGCTAAAGCAACCTTTGGGTACGCCTGAATAAGTTCATCGAATTTGTGTTCGCGATCGGCACGTTTCTTGTCGGAGTCCTCCTTGTTCTTGCTTCGATCTGTGTACTTCTTCGCCGCCTTGCGCATGTATTCTGGTAAGCTGGCAAAAAGAATGCAAACCACATGAGCTCTCATCCTCTGCATGTCGTTCTGGTTCATGCGCATTTGATTTTCAAGCATCTTGTCATAGAACTCGCCGAGCTTCGCGCGAATAAAAGTCAAAGTTTCCAGATCCTTAGCTTTCAAAGCAACCCATTGTTTTGTTGCATCGATTTTGCGCTTAAAGTCTTCCATGGCCTTCTTGTCGTCAGCCTGCTTTTGGGCTGCGTCGAATTCGTCTTTCATCTCTTTCTTGAACTGCTGACCCGATCTGTGCCGCAGTGGCTTCGGCCATTTGCCTTGTGCATACATTGCAGCATCCGCCTTGAGAGTTTGGAGGGCCCTGTGTAGGCCGTCGCATTCGCCATGATATGTCTTGCTGGTTCTGTCTATAAACTCGGGCACCATGTCTTTGAAAATGCCATCCTTGATGAAGTCATCTGCCCGGCCCATAAGACGGATGTTGTCGAGCGAGACGTCTGTGAACTCAGATCTCGTCAAAGTCAATGCTGGCTCAAAACGCAGATCATTGATCAGCTTGTTAACTTCTGCCAAAAGTGGATCCATTTCGGTATCAACCTGTTGGTTTTGCACTTGCATAGGGTCAAGCAGTGCAGGATTGTTCGAAGGTGCCCTGGCATGTAAAGCTATAGCTTCGCGAAAATCTTCATTTGGAGCTGGAATACTCTGAACAGGATATGGGGCTGTACGAGCTTGTAACGAAGATGCACGTTGGAACGATGAACCACGCGGCACTGAAGATCGACCATCAAACAACGGATGTTCTCCACCTTGATCCCCCAATGCGGTACGCACGCCTTCCGAAACGTTCCCCTGTGCTAAAGAAACACCATGGGGAAAGCAAGCTGAACCAGACAGAAAAGCCATGGCCAAGCTACAACGTGCGTCAACACACTACTCAAGGAAGGAGCGCAAGCGTCGCTTTCGGGCACTGATCTACGGGTACCGGTTTCGTGCCATTTAGGCACTCGTCAGCCATACAACTGCGGTAAGCAGCTGTTGATCAGTGTTGGCCTGGACATTGTGCTGCTACTTTATATGTGCATGCACATAAAAAGTAGCAGCACAATGTCCAGCTTATTCATCTGACCGATTGAAACCCTGACAAGCACACTGAACCCAAAGAGCCTCCAGACCACGAATCTCAAAGCCCCGAGACCCCGCAACCCAACAGCCCCGACCCCTGGAACCCTACACCTTGCTTCGACACGAACCTAACCCTGCATCATAGAGCCCTTGAAGGAACTCCACAAAGGAACCCTGACAGAGTCCTGAACCTAAACTTTCAATACCTACACCTAAACCCTAAAGCCTCTATCCTAAATCTTAAACCTCAAGCCCCAGACCTGGGAGCTTTACAGAACTCTTATGTGAATCCATAAAAAAACTCTTGTCTAGAAATAAGGCCAATAAGGCCATATACAACCCCCCACAAGCCCTGTCCGTCTTACAAGAATCTTATGGATCCCTTTCAAGGCTCCTTGTGTCTACATACAGCGAATCCCAGAAAGTTGGAACATGGGTTTAGGAGGGTTCGTGCTAGGATCCCGAATACTTTTACCTTGAGGGCATGAGGAGAACGATGTTCCAACTTTCTGGCTTCTACTATATCGGAACCCTGATAACACCGTTACAAGCCCTGAAGCGAATTCTGCCTACAGTTCCCATTGTAGTTCCTTTTCTTGGTTTAACCAATTCTATATGGGAGTTTCCGAAAACTAGGGGTACCTTATTTTGGGGTCCTTATAATAAGGATCCTAGTATTTCGGGTACTATAATTAGGGTCCCCTATTTTCGGAAGCCCCCATATATGAAGGGTCCGATAAGGCAACCTTTAGAAGGAACTACAATGGAGACTATGGTAGACCCGAACCTCTCTTTCAGGTTGGTCTGTGCGCCGCACGCCGGGATCCGACGCGGAGCAGTGCGCCGGGGCCTATAGGGTGCCCGTAGGCAACTCCGGAGGCATGAGGTCATGAGGGTTCATAGGCAACCCTAAACCCTAAACCTAAACCCTAAACCCTAAACCCCTAAACCCCTAAACCCTAAACCCTAAACCCTATCTCTCTACAAACATAAGCCATTTCTCAGTTTCTTTGACTTGGGAAGGGGTTCTTGGGCTGCTTTGGGGATTCCGGGGGTGCTTTTGTGCAGTTGTACCGTTGGTTTTTGCAGGATAACATCGGAGCCTTTATAATCAGAGTCGGGGTTTTGGAGCCCTACCTTAACCCCAAGTAACCTACACTTTTAAGGACTTATATAAAGAAATCATATCAGGGAACCCTAAGAAGGTAGGTTCCGTAGGGTCCAGGTATAGACGATAATTACAAGAAGGAGCCCCAAAGAATAGTATAGGTAATCATCAAGGCCTGTATAGAAAAGGGTTTCCCAGAGATTCCGAGCTAGGGTACCTTTCGGGGATCTGCCCTGAAGGGTTCAACCCGATGTTGCGGATATAAACAAAGAAATAAATAAATAAATAATTAAATAAATATATATATATATACCTTCTTAATTAATTCATGAATTAATTGGTTTATTTATTGATCAGGGGTGAGTGTTTCCTTCTTAAGCCAAGCATGAGAATTCAAGCTGGGATTCTCCCTCTGCGGTTTGGAGTGTAGGGTCTGGGGTTTTTAGTATATAGGCTTAGGGTGTACAGGGTTGAGGGTGTAGGATGACAGCTACCGGAGCCTTTTCAGAACCGACTCTAACGTCGAAAAACCCCCAAGACTTCTTTCTGTCAGCCCCAACTGTCTGGGTGGCGAGGGGGGGAAAGGGGGAGGGGGAGGGGTGAAACCATAAATCTCTAAAGGGGTAGCTCTAACAGGTACCTACAGCAATGGCTGCATGCTCATACATATACATTCCGCTGCCCATTGGCTCACAGTGGTTTTACCATATTGAGACAAGACAAGCTCTCCTTGCGTAGCAAGACAAAACAACTACTGTCCGTGTGCAGGGCGCTGCCCTTTGATCCTTAGGGAATAACTGGTCATACACCTCCTTACAAGGAGTATCCCTTGGGGGTGTATCGGCACAGTTTTCTGGTAGCGGAGCCCGGAAAGGGCCGCCCGCCTCACAAAGTCCGCTACAGCGGTCGGCCTCGCCGAACGCTTAACCAAGCGGATAAGAGGCAGCACAATGTCGAGCTCGCATAGCGAAGCCGACGGCAGTTCCCAATCCTCCGGGGGATATGAGAACGAAGAGACCTCCCAAGGTCCAGCTACTTATGTCGCACAGTCATATGCAACATCTGACCGCATGCTTGCATCATTAGGCATAACGCCCAAGATCGCGCCTGCCTATGATGGCACCACCTCGTGGTTTGAGTATGAACAGTTGATTGACGACTGGTGCGACATAACAACGCTGGATGACACCAAAAGAGGTCCGTCTCTCAAGACGAGGCTCTCCGGATTGGCCGCAGTACAAAAGGAATCACTGAACCGAGAAAGGCTTGCAGCCCCAGATGGAGTAGATTACTTCAAGAAGAAGATGCGTCCATTTTTCGTGAAAGGAGAACAGTACGTTTTCCTGTGGCGTTTCCTCGGCCTATTCAAGGCATGGAAGGGCAACCAAGACTTTGTGACTTGGATTGCTAAGTTTGAGATCGTGCTACAGCGCGTGAGAAACTCATGGATGGATCTCTTACCAGAGATAGTTCTGGAAGATGCCCATCCGGATTTCATGCAGGCTGTGCAGGCAGATCAAACCTTCATGCGCCTACAGGATGCAACCGAGAGAGACACATACGCCGCACGTTTCTTCGAAACATGGAACAAGGAACGCCTTGATAATCATCGAAGAGCGTTTCCTCTAAATGATAATCTCCTAGCTCTCCTCTTCCTAGTGCAGTCCGACCTAAATGAGATGCAACGTGAGAGGTTGGTAACAGCATTGACCAACCAAGGTTACCGAATTGAGACCTACACGTACCCTATAGTACGGCAGACCATGTTCGATCAGTTCTCAACGACCAGAACTGGTCTGCAGGATCCCAATATTCGGCACACTTCTCACAAGAAGGACCGCCATGGAAGGAGAGATCAACGCCGCAAACGCGGAGGTCGAAACTTCCTCATCCTCGATCAGGGTGAATACGACGGAGTCGATGGATTCTGGCTCCAAGACGAAGACACCCTTGAGGAAGGCTTTCTTGCCGCCGAGGATGAAGAAGCTGTCTTCTGGACAGTTGACGACCATGAAGCCTTCGTTGCAAGGAGATTCAAAAAGGGAAGAAGACCAAGAATGCGTCCCGGATCACCGGGAAGAGCAAAGGGTGGCAAGCGAAAAGGACGTGGCCGTTTTAGGTCATACCGCGGAAAAGGGAGAGCCAACCAGGCAGAACATGATCCAACTGATTCCAGCTATTTCGGTAAAGGTAAAGGAAAAGAAAAAGGAAAAGGTGGAAAAGGCAAAGGAAAAGGAAAGGACAAAGGAGATAAAGGAAGCTCCTTCAAGGGTACAAAATCAAAAGGCAAAGGTAAGGATACAGCTAAGTCTGCCTCCTTACAAGGAGACCAAACTGGATCTCCACAGGCCTATGAAAGTTCCACCGCACCGAGCTGGGATTCATGGTATGAGGACAGTTATTATACTGACTCCAGTTGGAATTATGCCGCTTATGACGATCAAACGTCTTATACATACTATGCATCACAAGCCTCACGAAGAAAGACACGGAAAAAGAAGAGAAGAAATCAAGCAGGATCATCAGGTAGAGGCACAGATCCGAGCGCGCACCAAGAACCCGTGTACAACTCATCAGTGAGTTACGCGCCCCAGGTTTTTGAACCATCCGAGGGGCAAGGTGTGGAGACTGCAACAGCAGTGTTTCCGTTGCAGCACACCGTCCTATCTGCTCTCACCGAGCGGATCAATCTTGATAAGAGCCCTACCTTTGTCATACTTGACTCTGGTTGTACTAGGGCTATGGGTTCCCGCTATGCGGTGAACAGGCTTATCAAGGCCGTGAAGCAACATGCCCCAGGCATGATTGATTTCACTTTTTCACCTTCGAACACGAAGTTCTCTTTCGCAGATAGTGAAACAGCTCTTATCAAGGAGCGTGTAACTCTATGGTTTAACACAACTCCAAGAAGAGATACAACCATAGAAGTTTTGGATCAGGGAAGAGTCCCCATTTTGTTCTCCATTGAACAGATGAGAAATCTAAGAATGACCCTCGAGTGTAGTCCAACAGCTGACCTAGCAACGTGTGAAGCTTTCGGTTTGTATAAAACCCCTCTTCCGATTAGTACCAATAACCATTTGGTATTGGACCTTCTAGGCTTTACTTCCACCAGGAAGTACCTTCCTAAGTCAGGTACATCGTTCCGTGCGACGGAGACTGCTCTAGGAGCCAATAAGCCTTATGTTAGGATACCGGAAGGTCGCTGTCCAGCCTGTGCCGGACAGAAAAAGGCTCACACGTACCTCAAGGGTTGTGACAGAGCACCTGAGGGAGCAGCTGATCCACCACCGAAGAGGATTTCAGGGAAAAAGAAGCCTCTTTCATCTGATCCGGCAGAATCATCTGCCAA